GAAAGTCTGCTTGCGCTTGACGTCGCTTTTGTTGAGGATCTCTGTGACCACACCCTTGCAGCTAGACGCGAACCGAGCAAATTCATAAGGATCAGGACCGAGGGGCAAGCGTGTGACACTATCAAGTTGTTCTGGCTTCAGCTTGTCCATCTTGTCTTGAATGCGAATGGTGTCGGCCTCCGCTGCAGCGGCGTCCGCAGCGTGCAGAGCCTCCTGTCTCGCTCTCGCTCCCGTGGAAGACAAAGGCAACCCAGCATCGTCCTGTGGCACCGGTGATGCCGCTTGACTCGGTGGCTCGACGATGTGGCCGGTTGCAGAGTCAGGATCAATCAGAACAGACGCACGCTGGAGGGGGGGGGGCGATACCACCAAAGGCTGTTGCAACAGGGCTGGGGCTGTCGACGCTGACTGTGCCACCGCAGGCTCGACCGGTACTGTCGCCGACCTCGTGGCTGATGATGATGATGCTGGCGTGGTCCTGGCAGCGGTTTCGGCACGAACATCGCGTCCCACAGGAGCTCCCGAAAAGCTCGAAGCGTGGTCTTGCATCGGTGCCGGACGCGTTGGTGGGGAAGAAGATGGGGCAGGTGGTGGCACGCTAGGAGCGTGGGGGGGCACAGGAGGTTGTACATTCGCGTCGGCAGCAGCATCCACTACTTGATTTGCTCGCAGGAGAGTGAGTACTTGTTCCAACAGCGTTTCAGTACGGGAGGCCGAAGTCGAGGCGTGTGATGCAGCATGGTGTGGTGACTGAACAGGTTCGTCCAAAGGCAAGGAAGATGCGGGATGATCCATAACGGCATGGGCAGGGGCATGGCTTTTCACAGCGGCTGAACGTTCACGAAGTTGCATGTTGGCAAGTTTGAAAGCCAAAGAAGACCTGGTCGGTTGGCCTACATTAGCGGGAGGGCGTAGAGCAAGCGGTGAAGAACAGAGAGAACCGTCTTCTGAAGCATCCTTACTTTCCCCCAACAACCCAGAGCTACGAAAATCACCTCGATCATACATCACTTGCCTGTTACCGTGGCCTAACCTCCGTCCCCCTTTCCCACCGCGACTGCTGTCAGTGCTGGTCGCCCTGCTATTGCCCCCGCTCTGGTTCTGGCTCCGGCTCCGGCTACGCCTAGACGGAGGCGTGTTTCTCCCACGACGGTCTCCGCTCCGGCTGCGCCCACGCCTAGACAAAGGATTGGTGCGCTGTTATCGCTCTGCGCTCCGACTCATGCTCCGGCGATGGCGACTCGCCGGCGAAGACCTCGTAGGCTGGTTCCCCACGGTTCGCCCTCGCCTGTTATCTCCGACGCCGCGCCCTCGCGAAGACTTGGTGAAGCAGTGGTGGTCGTCCGTCCTGCTCTTGGCCGTCGAATCCCGGTCGCCCCAACTGCTGAACGTTCACGAAGTTGCATGTTGGCAAGTTTGAAAGCCAAAGAATACCTGATCGGTTGGCCTAAATCAGCGGGAGGGTGTAGAGCAAGCGGTGAAGAACAGAGAGAAGCGTCTTCTGAAGCATCCTTGCTTTCCCCCAACAACCCAGAGCTACGAAAATCACCTCGATCATACATCACTTGCCTGTTACCGTGGCCTGACCTCCGTCGCCCTTTCCCACCGCGACTGCTGTCAGTGCTGGTCGCCCTGCTATTGCCCCCGCTCTGGTTCTGGCTCCGGCTACGCCTACGCCTAGACGAAGGCGTGTTTCTCCCACGACGGTCTCCGCTCCGGCTGCGCCCACGCCTAGACGAAGGATTGGTGCGCTGTTGTCGCTCTGCGCTCCGACTCCTGCTCCGGCGATGGCGACTCGCCGGCGAAGACCTCGTAGGCTGGTTTCCCACGGTTCGCCCTCGCCTGTGATCTCCGACGCCGCGCCCTCGCGAAGACTGGGTGAAGCGGTGGTGGTCGTCCGTCCTGCTCTTGGCCGTCGAATCCCGGTCGCCCGAACGGTTCTTCCAGCTCTTGGACACCGGAGCCGCCGACTTACTGAAATCCTTGTTTTCCCCAGAACCATGTGCAAGGCGTGAAGAGGCCTGCCGGGGGGCTGGTAGATCGTGCTTGAAGTCGTTGGTCGAAGCAGCCCTAGCAAGAGGCAGCTGGAGTCCTCCCTCCTGGGTCACCACCGACGTTCCTTGAGGACCTTCATGAAAGGTGGCACGACGGAGAGCGAACAACAGCTGGAACACGGACTGCCGCGAAGAAGGCGGAAGTTTCGCGAGGTACGGTGTGTGGTAGATGTGCCCGAAAGCAACGGTGTGCGGTGGGGGGAATTGTGCACGGACAAGTTGTTTGATGCCAGCCCATGCAAAAAGAGCTGCCAATTTATCTTCGTCGTGGAAGGTGACACCTTGAGCAGGCATCTCTAGCGGGCGGGACAGGAACGCTGTATCTCCCACGTGGAACACGTACACCGTGGTTGCCGCCGCAAACGATGCCCCGTCTTCAGCACCAGCCGGAAGACCCAAAGTCACCGAAAACTCCGGAGTCGCTGTCCTCGTCCGCTCCTGCCCGTTCATCGGAGACGCCGCCACCTCGCGCTCCTTCTCGTGCGGCGAGGCGGTACGATGGGGACCAAGGTGCACCTGGGATTGCGTGGGGGGGGGGACGATAAC